TCGACTGGCTGTGACGTACGTCAGAGTGCGATCGACTGGCTACGACTGGCTCCGCGGCCGTACTCCGGCGATGTTTCGGTTGACACGATCAATGTGCATTATTCGCGTTTATACTGTAACCTCTCGAGCGGGTTTACTGCACCTTTGGCATTAATTAGCATTCGGCTTACTACGTGTCTAATGTCGTCGATCTTTGCCGTATATTGATTCGAATTCTGTGATGCTGCTGTGGAATGTGAATGAATGTGTTTACCATATGTATTATTGAATTATCATATCATATGTATTTATTCATGGTTTAATGGTTAAACTTCAACTGACAACACTCTATGCCAATGCTTTGCATATGCGGTCTTCTGTTTTTGGAACCTGTTTCTTAATATAATGCTCACGAAGTGTCACAGTCAGACGTGCTGCCAATGTGCGTTTCTAATTTTGCTCTCGATAGATGGCGGTAGTGTGTCATATATATACCAAGAGCTAATAATATTACATTATATCCATAGTAGGTAGCTTTTATATAATTCCGTGATTATTATATGTATTATACATGTATATGTATTTTACACATGTATTAACTATATAATGAATTGATCAGTTGATTGATAGATTTTCTAGTCTCTAATTTCCAGAAGACAGTTATACTCATTTTGGATCTGTAATTTGGATTACACAAAAGGGTTAAGGTTGTCATTCTGCTTTACACATGTAAAATTGGACTTCATGCAGTCTTGCACACAGGGCTAGCTTCCTCTGTATAACAGAGAAGCCCTATTATGACACAGGGAAACCTCTATACTCACAGTGTTAATATATGTGCTTACTAAATTGAATCTCTGTATGGATTTTTTGCCATTACTTGCGAGAATAACTCTCACGCAGTATTATTATTGTATGCGACCTGTTCATGGAATTGAATTTATTTTGGAAACGTAGTAAACATTCTATTTTTTAACCTAGTGGAAAAGTTTTAGTTCTTTGTTCTATTTTATTTTATATACATATGCGCATGCAGGGTGTGCATGCGCGCGTTTGTGTGTGTGCGTGTTTGTGTGTGTATATATATATATATATATATATATATATATATGTGTATATATATATATATATATACTGTAAATAAAGAGGAACTTGGTTCTATTTAAAATATTTCCACCAATATGATTTCATATTAATAATATTAATTTATTTTAGTTGGGTACACATTTATATGTCTGAGTGAATGTGTATGTACATACTTGAACATTTGTCTACTATAATATATCAATTCATCACATTAACACGACTTGACTTAATTGATAACTTTCGTAGTCAAAATTACAGGTATTTTCATTCGCGTGGCTTGTCTATTGAATTATAATTATAAACTAGCGTAACGAAATGCAAACAAAGGATGATAACAGACCTAAAACCACCACCACTAACTGTTTCACATTTTTATGATGACAATTAAAGCTTATATTTGTATCCCTATGATACTATGGTTTCGATTCATGTCTGTCCAGCCGCCGCCGCCGCCGCTCGGTGCCACCGCATACACTTTTCCTTCCGCTCTATAACTCGACCCCTAATTGACCTAGCGCTACCAAACTTGGTATACTTACACATCTTGGGAAGAAGGTGCGCAGCGTTCTAAAACCAGGTCACTGCGACTAACTGACAACACTCTATGCCAATGCTTTGCATATGCGGTCTTCTGTTTTTGAACATGTTTCTTAATATAATTCGCTGTCACACACAGTTAGCTCACGAAGTGTCACTGTCAGACATGCTGCCAATGTGCGTTTCTAATTTTGCTCTCGATAGATGGCGGTAGGGTGTCATATATATACCAAGAGCTGATATTACATTATATCAGGAGTAAGATAATATAGGATATCCTATATTATCTTACTCCTGATAGTAGGTAGCTTTTATATAATTCCGTGATTATTATATGTATTATACATGCATATGTATTTTACACATATATTAACTATATAATGAATTGATCAGTTGATTGATAGATTTTCTAGTCTTTAATTTCCAGAAGACAGTCATACTCATTTTGGATCTGTAATTTGGATTACACAAAAGGTTTAAGGTTGTCATTCTGCTTTACACATGTAAAATTGGACTTCATGCAGTCTTGCATAACAGTATAACAGAGAAGCCCTATTATGACACAGGGGAACCTCTATACTCACAGGGTTAATATATGTGTTTACTAAATTGAATCTCTGCATGGATTTCTTGCCGTTACTTGCGAGAATAACTCACGCAGTATTATTATTGTATGCGAATAGTTCATGGAATTGAATTTATTTTGGAAACTTAGTAAACATTCTATTTTTTAACCTAGTGGAAAAGTTTGAGTTCTTTGTTCTATTTTATTTTATATACATATGCGCATGCAGGGTGTGCATGCGCGCGTTTGTGTGTGTGCGTGTTTGTGTGCATGCATGCGTGCATGTTTGTGTGTATATATATAATATATATATATCATATATATATATATATATATGTGTATATATATACTGTAAATAAAGAGGAACTTGGTTCTATTTAAAATATTCCCACCAATATGATTTCATATTAATAATATTAATTTATTTTAGTTGGGTACACATATTTATATGTCTGAGTGAATGTGTATGTACATACTTGAACATTTGTCTACTATAATATATCAATTCATTCACATTAACACGACTTGACTTAATTGTGGTTTCGGGACGCGACACACTTCTTCCCCAAGATGCTGTTAAGCTATACCAAGTTGTAGCGCTAGGTCAA